CATTCCATCCACAGACAGACGGTCAGTCGGAGCGTACTATCCAGATTTTGGAGGATATGCTTCGGGCATGTGTGTTTGACTTGGGTGGTAATTGAGAGGATCACCTTCCACTTATTGAGTTTGCCTACAACAACAGTTATCAAGCGAGTATCCAGATGGCTCCATTTGAGGCGTTGTATGGTAGACCTTGTAGGTCTCCTGTTTATTGGACTGAGGTAGGCGAGACAGCGGCCTTAGGACCCGACATTGTACTTGAGACTACTGAGAAGATTAAGTTGATAAGACAGAGGTTACTTACAGCTCAAAGCCGACAGAAGAGTTATACGGATAAGCGGAGACGGCCGTTATCCTTTGAGGTGGGAGACCACGTTTTTCTACGGGTTTCTCCACGGAAGGGGTTGATGAGATTTGGAAAGAGTGGCAAGTTATCGCTACGATTTATTGGACCATTCGAGATTTTGGATCAGGTAGGAGAGGTTGCCTACAGGCTTGCTTTGCCACCACAGTTGGATAGGGTCCACAATATTTTCCATATATCGATGTTACGGAAGTACGAACCGGATCCATCTCACATTTTGAGTTGGGTTGATGTGGATATTGATGAGGATGTTTCCTACGAGGAAGGACCAGTTCAGATCCTTGACACTCAGCAGAAGGTGTTGAGGAACAAGACAATACCAATGGTGAAAGTCCTTTGGAGACACCACGGAGTCGAGGAAGCTACTTGGGAGCTTGAACAGGAGGTTCGCTCTATGTATCCAGAGTTATTTTCTTCCTCAGGTATATCTTGATTTCGGGGACGAAATCTTCTAAAGTAGGGGAGAGTGTAATGTTTGTGCCTTTATATATATATATAGGCGTATGTGCGGTGTGTATTAAAAGAAAAAAAAAAAAAGAAAGAGAAAAAGAAATTAGAAAAAGAGAGGTGGGACCCCCGTCCCTTTTAAATGAATTAAGAGACCAAGTTAGTCTCTGTTCTTTTCCTCTCTCTTTCTCCCGACTGCTGCTCTCAGCTCCTTCTCTTTTTCCTTTTTTCTTTTTTTTTTCACTTCAAGCTTTAACCCTTGATTACTCTCTCAATCCTTGCCGGATTTAGGTGCCGTTTGAGGCAAAACGACGAGTGTGACGAGCTCTACGCGTTGATGCAAGCAATTTCCAGTTTTGAGCCTTCTTTGGAACTCAAAAATTTAAACCCATTTCTAGGGTTTTGGTGCAATCTTGAGGTAGGGGCATCTTAATCCACTCTCTTCTTGTTCCATTGTGAGTTATGCTCTTTTGTTGTGCTAGACATGCTAAATTTGAGAATTAATTACTTCAATGAGGTGTAAGTGATGTTTAGAAAAAATTCATGTCTTAGGGTTATGACTTGTCTATGTGAAAAGCATGTATAGATGATGGCTTTGTGGTGTTTTATGTGAATTATACCTCTTTTATGTGCTAACATGCTTTACTTGGGGATTAATTGTGTTAATGATTATTTTAATGTTGTCTAGAGAAATGTATGTTTATGCACATGTGATGTATTATGTGAAAAGCTTGCCTATGTGTTGAGTTTATGTCTACTATGTGTAAACTTGCTGAAAGTGATGTATGAGACCATGCTTAATTGTATTGTGCCAAAATTTCACATTGTCATGATATTGAGATTATATGTACATTCTTGGATATGTCATTGGGATGCATGAAATGGGAGAATTTGTCTTGAAATGAAAATGAAGAATTTTTAGGAGATGATAGTTTTTGTGAAATGGTTTTGATAAACCCGGTCGCTGCCGGATTACCAACGGGCCGGAGGTTAATATAGCCTAGAGGGGACTAGGGAGTCGCCCTAGTGTGGTTGAGCTAGCTGGGCCCCATAATGACGCCGCGAGGTTACCAAGGGTCAGGGACACTAGCCAATCCTCCTCTCGTGTCGCGGCGGGGTTACCAAAGGGCGGGCTATATTAACGTTTGAAAGTGATGCTTTTGAGAATGAAAATGGGGAGTATCATTGACATGCATTGCATTTCATTGCATTGCATTGCATTGTTTATAATTGGAATTGAATTGTATGTTGTATTTGATCCCCTACGTTGTATGATCCCTATCTCCCATTGGCCTATGCTTTGCTTGAATTCACAAGGACACAAGATTTGTGTCTTAAGTGTCACCTACTGAGCATATAGCTCACCCTACTATTTATACATTTTTTTCAGGTCTTGGAAAAGAACCGGTGGACGACAACCCACCTCAAGCTTGAGCGATACTAGAAGCTCACTTTTGTGTCTTTTGTATATCTCCCATTATTTTTGCAAAGCACTAAAAGTGTGAAGGTGTATATGTATATTTTGCAAAACTTTGTCATATAATGTAATTAAGGTATTTGATGATATTTTGGATGTGAATTTGATAACATGTAAACCTTAATGATGAATGAGGAGAGTAATACTAGTTTGAAGTATTATTGAGGTCATTTGATTGTGTATTATCATCTACTATTGCCGTGAATTCGGAATTTGAGCCATGATAAGTTAAAAATGAATTTAAACAGGTTGTGATAGGCTATTTTTAGGGGAGGTCATGCCGAATTTTTTTTTTTTTGTTTAAAAAGTATCAGTTTTGGGATCGTTACATGATGAGTAATAAATGGTGGTTGGCATGAGTCTCCTTGAGGAGGGTAGATTTAATCTCTTAAGGAGGGTAGATTGTGACGTCTCGGATTTTTTTCGAATTTTCTTCAATTTTCAGTAATTTTTTTTTATGCATCGCTTTGCATGCTGTGCATCGATTAGCATGCCATAAGGACCCTGGTAGTCATTTGGGACATTAATTAAGTTTAGAACTCTTAGAAATGTATTTTGGTGCAATTTTGTATTTTCTAGATTTTCGGGTCTGGAGGTCCCATGTGAGCCCCACGCCCGGATTTACGTGCTCGAAAAATATGTTATAGATTCATATACATGTTATATATGTTATTTGATACATATAAGTGGGAAAAATTGGAATTTTTCATGTTAGTGGTGTAGTTGTAGTTTAATGGGTTTATAGGGGTATTTTAGTCATTTTGTGAGTTAACCACTTTTGACCTCACATGTGGGGGATATGGGTTATATTTTCTACAGATTTTTCAGCCCATTTTTGGACCATGCTTCCTCCTCTTTCTTCTTCTTCTTCCTCCATCATTTTCCCCCATTAATGCCCACTTTAAGCTCACTTTTGGTACCTTTGTAGTAGGATTTTGGCCTTGAGCCAAGAGCGAGATTGAACCTACATCATAAGAGCTTTAATATGGTACCAATTTCATCCCCATTTAAGCATTTCAAAAATTCAAGTTCCCCTTGATGGTGTGATTTTGTTGAAGCTCCAAAAGTAAAGTTTGTTCCTCTTATCCTCCATTCTCCATCAGTGTAGCTAGCTTGTATTTTGGTGTAGTTTCACAAGGAGCCAAAGCTAGGGTTTCTGCATTCAAGAGGTAAGGGTGTCTAATTCATGGAGTCCTTTAACTTTGCAAGCTCTCTTGTGATGATTATGTGCTATAGCATGTTGTAGATACCATATGATGTTGTTATTAGTTAAATGTGTAAAGATGAATGTTATTATCTTGCCCCATAGATGCTTGATTTTATAAATTGTATACTACATGTGTTTAAATTGATGTTTAGTGATGTTAATTATGTGTCATCTTTGTGGAAAGAATTGTTAGTAGTATGAAGAATTTTATCAATTTGTATGCTAAGGTGGTTATATGAATATTTTGCTAGCATGCTTAATTATGATGGTTGTGTTATTAATTTTGTTAAATATCAATCCATGAGTAAAGTTGTAGAATTTGTAATATTTATATGTAGCGTGATTTGGATAATTGCTCTATTGTTAATAAGCATGTTTGGTGTTTGATGATTGACTATATGGAATAAAATGATGAGTTTTATATTATAGAAGCTTGTGTGTGCAATATGGCTATGTGAGTGCTTGATGGCATGTTCCTTTCATAATGGTAGATAAAAGATGACTATTGTAAATTGAAGGTTAAGCATTCATTCACAAGCATCGGGTGGTATGTGTGTGGGCTATGGATGGTGGTTAGTTATGGATATGAGAAAAGAATTGAAGGGTTGGAAACATAGTTGTGAGAACGGAAGACAAGCGGTAATCTTGTTTCCGATATTATAATAGCTAGGCCCCAAATGGTGGTGAGTGGTGGATTCGCGCCAGGGATAGCTAATTGATGTTGACAAGCGGTGGACTTATGCCATTTGGTAGTGGTGGTCTTTGATGTTGTTTGTGAGATTAGGTTGGTTTAGATGTTGAGGTGCATACGCACTAGTTAAGAGTCATGGGAATTGGTTAAATGAGGATCATGGCACTCGGCATAAGTATAACTATTAGAAGCATTGTTGTAATCGTGGAGCATTTGTATGTGTGATCATGGTTTTTGCCAACGCAATGTTGCTTATATGTTATTAATGATTTCATTTTTTTTCCTTACGAGCATGATCCTTCATCCTTGTCTCCTATTCCCCTTGGTGTTCGCTCAATTGCCTTTAGGAATCATGCCTTAGGCATACTCCACTGAGCGGTGGTGCTCACCCCTTTATCTTAAACATTTTCAAGATTTACAAGCGACGAAGTGGATATGACGCCTCATTATCCTATAGCGGAGTTAGGATGTTTAATTTCATTATCCTTTATAATCAACGTCACATTTCACTACAAGAAAATTGACTTTTTACCACGGTGGAAAACACTTTCTACCACGCTTTTGAACCGTGGTAGAAACAGCCGTGGTAGTAAGTCATGACTTACTACCACGGTTTTCCACCGTGGTAGAAAGTCCTTTTCCAACCGTGAAGTTGTTCTTTCTACCACGGTGCAAAACCGTGATAGAAAGTGTTACATAATTTTTTTAAAAAAAAATATTGCAACCCCACGAGGCCTTTTTTTCTCCCTACTACTAGCCTTGCGAGGACTCCAGAAGCAAACACTAAATAAATTAAAAATAGTATCATAACCAAAATAACTTACAACTAACCAATATCATATATATATATATATAACCAATTCCAAATCATTGTTTTATACAAAAATTAATCATATACAAATTTCTAATTTCTTATACCATACCAAAATAAAACAAAAATTCTTATATCTTCTTACTTTGTTTTAGTCTCTCTCTTCCATTACATATATGCAACTTCTTCATGAGCCATACAAATAATATAACGGCAACAAAAAAAGTAACGGCAATCGCAATCCTAGCTTTGACCTACAAAGATGTAATAGTTGAAGTCAGATAATACAAAACAAATTGTAAAGTTGTCAAAATAAAACCAAGCAAAGCAAGCATTATAATAAAGGTATATTGAAAGATCTACTCTTCGTATTAACTCAACCCGTCACCAAAAGAAATCATTTGAGTAGTAATATGCAACAAAAGTAATTTGAGAAAAACAAAAGTAGGTGTGAAATAATAATATTTGTAAGTATAAAATGTTAGAATGGAATTGTGTAAGATTAGGACAAACTGAACTGAAATCCCAAGCCTACAACAGTTCCAAAAGTATGCATACTTTGTTCCTTTCAAACACACCAGAACTGTTGAGCCTGGAAACTCTTACAAGAAACAATAAAAAGCATAAAACTTCAGCACAAATAAAACTTCAAAAATTAAAGTTTAAATTGAAATTTATGTGATTGCTCTGTAGTCTGTTCTTGACCAACACATTTAAGGCATAAAATCTATTGGAGAGCAGAAGACCACTCAGACAAAGATGCCCTGCAATGACTAGTCCCCTACCATAACATCAGGCTTGCAATGGAGGGTAAATCAGTAGGCCAAGAGAGTGACATTTATGAAATTTAGTTGAGTGGAGCGTTGTGTTCGGCTCATAAAATTAGTGAAAACAAAAAGTAAAGGAACCTTTAAATGATCACTCCCCTACCTGAACATCACATTTGCAACTGAGGGTAGAATCAGCAGACCAAGAAAGAAAGTGACATTCAAAAAATTTTGTTGTGTTCAGCTGATAAAATTACGGCATAAAAATACTCCACAGGGCATGCAGACGAAATCCCTGTCACAACTGAGCCACCTTGCTCTCTAGAATATACCCAAGTGACAAATAAATGGTACATGTACAAAATTGTACAAGTAAGATCAATCTTAATTCTTAAGCTATTGCACCCAATCAAAGGGAAAGATTAAGTACCTAGAAAACACTAAAAATTTCATTGCAACTGAAATCTTAATATCATATTCATATGCTGCCAAATTTAAGATCGAGGAACACAGGAGTTTAGTGCCTTCCTTTCACTTACAAAAGCAACAAGAAGAAGAATGCACCATTTTTTGAAAGTTTGTGCACGTAATTAATTTATCATGTGCGTGTGTATATCTATATATGAAACTGACTGTCACCGTTGATGAGATCCCCAAGCAATGCTCAACCAACATAAGCAATTCATTTCCATGAAGATTATAACAACAGAACACTCTGTATCCTAGAAGCAGGAAGTGATACATCTGACAAGAAGGACAAGGACCCAACTGCTAACAGATCAAACCTTTAAGATAGAAGATATTGTCATTTTTTTAGAAGCATCCACCTTCTATTTCATTGGATAGCTCAAAAGGATAGTAGATAGTCTAAAATTTTGTAAATCAAATTATTCAACGGCGATACTCTTTGACCTAAGATTTACTCATAAGTCATAAGGACCAGTTGACTCTGGGTCTACACCACCATAAGTCCATCGGATGTCCAACTAAATACTTAAGATTTATGCGGTTAAACTTGTCCAGGTATTCAGGAGAAAAAAACTGCCCAGGGGCTATCTTCAACAGACAAGAATCTCTAGACTGCCAAGTTGGCACCAGGTTACTGTTAGTCCAAAAGATTATATTTATGTGAAGTCGTCATCTACCATTGAGATGTGGTGTGTTAGGTCACCCTTCAAAAACAAGGTGTCGAAGAACAAGTTGAAAAAGTGGTTTTATAAAACATTTTGAGAAAAAAGAGGATGCAAAGCATGAAGTACCAAAAAAATTTCCAGCACAAATTTTGCATAAGTAGCAAGACCTATACCAGTTATTATACTATATCTGTTCAAACTTCTAACTAAAAGAAGCACATAACATAATATACCATCTCCTCTCTTTATTTATCAGGTAAGTACTCACGCACACATTGGGGGTCAAAACAACACCCCCCCTCCTCTCTCTTCCTCCTCTTTGAGGGTAGGGAGGTTATACCATTCGGCTAATGGCCCATTGGTGACAGCATATACCATCTCTAAGACCACCGAGAAGGTTATTTGTTTAAATCAACCGTCAATCATTAATAAAATTGTACAACATTCAATTAATCAAGTTATAGTTGAATCAAAGTAGGGAAAGAATCTACTCCATGTGGCTCTTTATCAACCCCCTTGTCAAGCAAGAATACCAAACAGAAGACTATAAAAGCTTCTGATATAGATCCCGAATTCAGGCTTAATCAATTAAAAAGTCAAATGATGGGCAATTGCATCAAGGGAGAAATACCAAGAAAAAAAAGAAAAAAATAGATCATCTGAAGAGAAGATAACCTGTCAGGATCAATGGTAAGCACAACAACGTTCGGTAGAATCCAAGTTGCAATTTCAGTGATGTCATAATAGGAACTGGTGGCACATAAAGCCATAACACCTACCAAAATATTAATCTGATAATGTCAAACCAGGGGCCGAGAGAGAGAGATGATATGACATGCAATGAATTCCTGGAACAAAAACATCACTAAATTCTAGTAAAAAATAAATAAACTAACAAAAGCGATGGATCTTACCAGCTCCTCGTGCAGGAGAAAATGTATCACGCAAAGCACGAACTATCAATGCATTTATCAAAACTCTTTTCCATGTCTGCATTGTCGTTTCAGAAATCTTCACCATTTATATAGAAAGGACAAATCTTTTTTAGATATATAATTTTTATTTTTTTATATCATATTCTTTGTGGTTTGGCAAATGAGGGACAATTCATACCAAAATATATTAATCATGCGATCACTAGATAATAAATGTTTGTTATGCTACCAAATAACAAAAAATTAGCATCTGAAACAGAAGTGTAGAGTAATTCAACATGAATGAATGGAAAAAATGCAAGCTAACTGCTACTAACCCCTTCATTAAGGCGAGTGGCGATATTCCCAAGTAGTATAGTGGTGTTCGTTCTAATTGCTGGTTCTTCATCAACCTGCATGACATACAGGTATGAAGAGAAAACTACAAAGCACAAACAATGAAAAACTAAAGAAAGAGAAACTTTCTAAAATCAAGTGAGATGTACTATCTGAACAAAAAAAAAAAAAAGTAACTTTAAATTGAAAGAAAAAGTCAATAAGTGAAAAATTAAAACTAATTCTAATATAGTTATATTAACAAATGAAACAATGCCATACCTGAAGCTTTGAAAGATACTTCAACAAAGATCCTGCCATAGTGCGTTGAGAGAGCTGCAATTAAGTCAAACATAAACTTTTAAAATAAAAATAAAAATAGAAACAAAAAATATAAATATGTTCTAGTAAAATAAAGCAATCCAAAGAATCTTTTAACCAGTACATAATGAACATAGAGACAATCCCGTGAACAATTCATGCAATCAAGATAAAAAAAAATATAAGACTGTTGATTATATCAATGCATATATTAAGAGGAAAAAAAAAAACCAGTAGAAAGGTCAACTACAGTGTTAGCAATACTCTTTCAATTTTTTTTAAAAATTGTTATCAAATACAGAACGTGTCTCAACAGAGCCTTAAATCATAGGTGAGCTACCAAATCCTATTTCACCATTTGGCTTCAGGTAAGGCCATAGCCACTTCTAAACTATAGGTTGTTACATCTTCTATTGCCTCCTCAACCTATGCTCTTTCTGGTATTTCTCCAGGTTAGAAATACGAGGCATGTGTTGGCAATGTCCTACTCAAAATTCTGGTATGTGTCAAAATGTCATAAGTATATGAGTAACCATTGAAGACAATGTGGAATAGGTAGAAGAAGAACATGGCTAGAAATCTTCATCCTCAATTACATATCTAAGGCACAGGTAATTTGACCTTGGAAAGACCTTGAATGACCGGCTTGATCTTGAAGAGGCCCAAAGTTTTGTTTCAAATGTCCTTTTGAAAAATGGTTTTTCAAAAATAAAGGATTTTAACATATTTTAAAACTGTACTACTGAGAAACAGAGAGCATTGATTGCTACCAAAAGAATAAGTGCACCTTAGGAGCTAGAATAAGCATGGGGCGAATACCATACCATACCTATTTGAGTATCAATTTGATGAAGGAAGATATATATATAACCCATCAAATTAACCACTATCTCTATTAGAAGTATGGGGCGAATCCCATAGCATACCTCAACCCTCAGTGGCTTCGGTAGAAGGGTTGGGCTTGGAGACGGCTTGGACGGTCTGAGAGAAAGGGGGTGGCCGGCTTGGAGATGGTTTTTTTTTATTTTTCTGGTTTGTGTGTGTGTTTTCAACTGTATAATTATGCACGAAGAAGTTCAATGAGAGACAATTGGTTTGACACCATTTATATTGTTTTTGTACCATTTTGCTTTCCTATATTCCTTTGTTAGTGGATGACATTGTTTTCAACGGTATAAATATGAAGGAACCCATTTAGATTGCTCTCCTCCTCTGTTAGTGGATGGCATTGTTTATGCATGAAGAAGTTTACCCATTTGCATTGTTTTGTTAGTAGTGGACGAATCTTACAAGGGTCTGTTCACTGGTTATAATTTAATATATTTATTTATTATTTATTATTATTATTTTTAAGGGCAAGAATGTTAGGGGTTAGTGGTTAGTTGTTAGAGGAGAGGAGGAGGGTGCAAGGCCCGGACATGGGCTCCTGGACACAGGGAGCAATCCACTACTCGGTCAACACAACTTCACTGGTCATAAATATGAACACAAGTGTTTCTGCCATGGCACTGACCTCAAAAATCTTCATCATTCCCATTGCTCTCATAACCTTCATCATTCTCATTCCTCTCATAATCTTCACAGTTTAGAATGGTGCTTATGTTTTTCTATTTCCATATTAATGTTTGCTGATCATATAAATGTAATATTTAGAATTGTTTCTTCTATAATCTATATGCGCAAGTGACTTATGTATGAAATGTTTCTCTATGCAGGAGACGTCATTGGAGTATATCATATGCCTCATTCGTCTTTCTGTACTTGGAATTCTTGGGGTATGGTGTTACAATTTTAATTGTTTGGAGCATTTCTTTACCAGAGAGGCAGTAGACATTTTAATTTGACTGAAATTTGCATTAAAATTTTCATTTAGATCCCAAATGTTGTCTGCTGACTTCCTTTATGAATATTGTACTCTTTACTCTCTTCTAGCAGGCTAGTTGGTACTTCCCTGATAGCAACTTAACTGATCCTAATAAACACACTTTTGCCAATATATTAGCATAGAACTGAAGTTTAATAATGGTGAACTTCAAGTTTTTCAATGGAATGCTTGCAGAAGTGCGGGATAGTTCTATCAATTGAATATTGAGGTTTTGTTTATTTATTTATTTTGGAGGAATGGGTGGGGAGCTAAGTCTGGAATTTTGTGGTTTGTTTGGCAAAAGTTGTGGTAAGAACACTTTACTATTGTTGTTTCGTTTCATGATTAAGGACGTTATGGCATGAGAACCACCATCTTAAGAGCACAAACTTGGAAAACACCCGAGAGAGAGGTATCTAGTGGCTTAAAGGTCACGATCATGCGCATAGAATAGAAATGTTGAGGATCGACTGCAAGCCATTAAATAAAGAAAAAAGGACATATAAGCAGAACAGAACAAAGGGTTTCAACTTTTTGGCGAAACATAATGCTCCTGAAAGATGATATATAAAGCAGAAGACGGAAGATCTATATATAACCCACCAAATTAACCACTGTCTCTATTAGAAGTATGGGGCGAATCCCATACCATACCTATTTGAGTATCAATTTGATGAATATAACAGGGGATGAAAATACAAACCTCAATTCGTGTCCTTCGAATTTAGGGCTTCGAATGAGAGAGGGAGCTAGGGTTAGGGCTTGGAGAAAGGGGCTAATCCTTGTTCAATCTCGACGCCAATCAGCTGTGCCGCTATCTTCTCTACTCTAACGCTGCGCTGACCGTCGACTCAACCCTCAGTGGCTTCGGTAGAAAGGTTGGGCTTGGAGACGGCTTGGACGGTCTGAGAGAAAGGGGGTGGCCGGCTTTCTTTTCATCTCCTTGCTCTGCTTTTTTATCTTCTTCCTTCTCCGGCGGCTTCTCCTCGGCAGCAGGCAGCGGTGGAGCTTCCTCCTGCGTTGCTGCCTCCGTATACATTGATTTCAAGAATTTCAGAGGCCATAGACTCCGAATCGTGAACCAGATCGAGAAAGGGGCTGCCGGCTTTTTAGATATATGTTTGTGTTCTGTAAGTGTGTTGTATGTGTGTGGTTTCTGTACATGTGAGCAGTATATATATATATTTTTTTTTTATTGACACAAACGAGGGTATAAGACCCGCCAAAAGGTAAGCGTAAAAATTTCACTTTCTACCAAGATTTTAAAATAATCGTGATAAAAAGTAAAATCTTCTACCACAATTATTTTAAAATCGTGGTAAAAGAATATATTTTTTATTATAGTTATTCATTAACTGTGGTAGAAAAAATCTTCTACCATAATTTTAAAATAACCGTGATAAAAATTTATCACGGTTATTTTAAAATCGTGGTAGAAAGGATTTTTTACCACAGTTTTTTTAAAACCGTGGTAAAAAAGTGTGAAAAAAAACTGTTGTTTAATGTTTGTAAAGCTTTATTATTAACTTGATATTTTCATTGGCAATGTAAACGCATAACTCTGTTAATGTATTCCATTAAACTCGTATAACTTCGGGACATGTAACGAATGATATTAATATCATATGTGTGTATTAAAAATGATATATTTATTTCATATAAGTTGATGTATATGACTGCATGATGTTTTATTGATCTTGTTAATAAGTTGGACAGGGGCATAATGGTTAAAATGACCAAATATGAGCGCTTAGAAACATGAACCAGATAGAAAATGGGTTTAGAGAAGCCAAACAGCCTCTTGTAAGCTTGGCCAAGCCCTTGCAGCAACAAGGCCGAGCACTCGCAGTCCATTTTGGGCAAGTCGAGTGCTCGTAGCCTCTCTAAGCTCCCAACTTCAGTAGCCAATTTCTAATACCGAGCGCTCAGACCCTCAGCAACCTTGCGCATGTATGGTTTCCCTTGCGCGCACAACGAGCACAGGGCATAGCCCAAGCGCTCGCACAGTGTTATGCAAGAGCTCGAATGACCCCAATTGCCCATTTCTTCGACTTATCCAATTTTGGTTCGTTGCTCCACTTCTGTTTGACTATTGGTACTCGTGCATGACCAGTAACCTTATAGTTGACCCATTGACCGCTATTTGGTCGAGAAATGACTTACACTTGTGACCTTTGGACTTCCGAGTTGAATTTTAAGTATGGTAATGAATCTTATTCATTCAAATGTCATCATAGCAAATCAGTATGGTGCTAATGTGGCTCCCAAGGCATCAAATAAAGTAGAATGACAGTTTTGCCTCTAGTTAACCTCAGGTCCGGGTAAGGAATCATGTGATGATTCGGACCCCTGGGTTCAAGTTGTTACAGATGAGATATCAGAGAGTGGCCTATATAAAATTCACATTTTTTAACTTTTAAGAAGTGTCATCTTGTAATGCACAAGTGAATTTGAACATTAGATACGAAGAATGAGATTACTAGACTTAAGGTTGCTTAAATTGCCTTCGTATCCCTACAATATTGGACATGTGGGAATCAAGTCAATCGTAGTTAATTACATTGTAAGAGGTATTAAGTTTATTTGAGTTTGAGGTACGTGTATAATGTATTGAGATCCTACGGATAGGGTGTTGAAATCCCGGGATGAGGTGACCGGATCTTGGACGGGATTGATTATGTTAAGAATAAGGTCAAACGTAGTTCCCACTATTGTAAAAGGGAATGTGTGTGTGTGTGTGTGTGTGTTTAAGAAGTATTGAGGTCCTATGGATAGGGTTACCATAACTAGGATTGCTTAGATTGTCGACATATCTTGATTAATGTCAAGAATCAGGTCAAATATAATTCCCTTTGTTATAAGAGGGATTGAGGGAATGAATATATGTGTATTTAAGAGGTATTGAAGTACTGTGGATGAGGTGAGCAGATTAGGATGTTCTAGAATGCCTACATATCTTGATTATGTCAAGAATCAGGCTAAACGTCATTCCCTCCTCATACGTATACGGTTGAAAATGAGTGAGATAAATAGACATATGTGCTCCTAAAGGGCATACGATCCTAGAATATAAGATACGCGATAGGGGAAATGGCTTAATTCAAGTTGTTTTTGAGGATTGAGTTTGAAAATGACCTTATTCAAGGTGCCTTTGAGGATTAAGTTGTAAATAACCTTATTTAAGGTACCTTTGAGGATTGGAATTAAATAGTAACCACTTTTAGGAAAATAAGATTTTGGAGATGTAAGTTGTTGAGTAAGGATTGAGAATAGAGGTTTTTAGTAAAACTGTGCTTTGAAGACCTAATGTTTCTATATGTGGATGATAGGTTTTGGTATGAATTATTAAGGAGAGGATATGATATATAAAATAAATAAATAGACATGTATAGCCAAATTTTCCATCCCATATTTTCAGTCCATAAAATGTGTATACACATGTACGTATTCATATTCGTATTTTTACATTTCCATTTTTTTAACCGATTTTTCGTAACGTATTTTTAAAAAAGATTCAAATTATACTTATACATTTCCAAATACATTTTTTTGGTACTATATTTTACCTTTTTTTTGTTTTCTTTTTTATCAAGGGAAGAAACACGCACACCTACTCACATACACTTTCTGCCTACACTCGGGGTCAAATCCCTCCCTTCTTCATGGAAAGGTTATACAATTGAGATAGATGCCCGTTGGTGTACCGTATCTCACTAACTATGCCTAGACTCAACATAATAATATAATAATTAAACCTTAAATGATAGGAAAAATTATTAAAAAATATGGACTTTGGGAGGTTTAATTACTTAGAGATGGAGTCGAAATCAACAATTTTTAAATTCATGAATTTTGACCAAAATTTGATGTGAATATGAAAAAATACTATTCATTTGCTCAAACTACTTTTAATATGTTGGGGCACTATTTTTGCACGTAAGTACTACTTTTGTGTATAAAGATACCACTTTTATACATACAGGTACCATTTTGTGTAAACCAAGTACTAAAAATGCTCTGCACAAAAAATGATACATGTGTGCACAAAATTAGTACTTATATGCACAAACGTGTTACCTCGATCTGGACAAATTAAAGTGGTATTTACCTATACAAAAGTGGTACCTTTTATCACAAGAGTGGTATCTTTGATCACAAGAGTGATATCTTGTGCACAAAAATAGTACTTTCGTGCACAAAAATAGTATCTAGAAATACTAAGGGCAACTTGGGCAAATGAATCATGTTCACTGTGAATTTTAAAAGAGCTCGTTGACCCATATCAAAGTAATAAAACCTCCCAAAATCCAATATTTTATAATTTTCTCTAAAACTAGTACCTAATACATTAACAATTAATAAAACCTCTTAACTTGCTACCGCCAACTGAGCCGTCGCTGTCCGTCCGAAAAAATCGCATAAAAGTACCAAAGTGGTACCGTCTCACACCTGCTTTCCGCTAAACCCTAACGTTTCAAAACCACACACCACCCCCTTCAATGTGTCAACGGTCAGAATCGCTGGCTATCCAAAACTCCGGCGTTTGATTTTATATTCATCTCCCACTTCTATCTACCTTCCTATATACTATTTAATACATATCAATCCCACCCTCTCCTTGTTCTTTCCCTAGCTTATATATTCTCCTCTCTCCTCTCTCTCTCCATCCCTAACAAACCACACAGTATATATATCTCTCTCTCTCTATATATATATATCCTTTAATATTAGTAAGCTAGTCTTTGTTTTGGGTGGTTTTAGCTGTCTTTGTTATTCCAGTGTACATTTGTTTGAGCTAGCTAACATGAGCCCTGCAAAGTTTTATGATGATCATGAACAAGCTGCGAGAAAGGATGTTCAGATGATCAATGGTCCACGTCCATCTCCATTGAGGATCAACAGAGACTCGCTTGTGATCCATAAACCATACGTGAATAATCATCATCATCAGCAGCAGCAGCAAAATCCGGTGATCATCTACACCCATTCTCCCAAGATCATTCACACGCAGGCTCGCGATTTCATGGCCTTGGTTCAGAAGCTCACCGGTCCAACACGGTCTCAAAATGAAAGTAGTGCACCATCTCAGCCTCAAAAGGGAGAGGATAATCGAAAGCCGGTGGTCAGACAGGACGAGAACAAGTCATCTTCGGCTACGAGGGAAGAGAATTGCGGTGATCGTGATGGTGATGGTGCCGGTGCCGGTGCCGGTGATGATCATAAAGAGAGAGCATCTTATGTTTCTCCGATGTTCAACGCCCATAAGACTTACTTGGCTGACATTCCACTCTTCACGCCGAGTTGGAATGACTTCTTTTGCTCACCACGCCCTCGTTTTAGATACAATGATATGGTTTCACCATCCAGAAATATGGTGAAAGGGCTGCCAGAATATTGAGATGAAGTGATTGAGATTGTGCATGTATTAATTGGGATATTGCGATATAGATGCTGGGTTCTTAGTTAGGAATTAGTACTTCTCAGCACCATCAGTTGGTGATTCCATCATTTTTCTTGTCCATAGGACCATAGGTTTGATTTCTTCATTAATTTTTTTCTTTGTATTTATTGTTAAGATCAGCATGCATAAACTGTGAATTATTTACAAGAAATTTAATTTATTCTTTGTCCATCCAAGGGAAGATTGATCTCTTTAGGGTGCAGTGATTTATGGTTATGTTAGTTCAATTTGGACATTTTCTGTAAGAGTTTATACTCGGTCCATGAGCAAGAATGGAACATATTGTACGTCTTCATGATGTTTCAATATATATCAGTCTTAATTTAATTATATTTTCATTCTGATTCAATGATCATAATCTAATGAAATATGTAAGAACAGTTGAAAATTCCAATTTCAGAAATCTAGGTTGAACAAGAAAAATATTTTTCAAGATGCAGCCTACACCTTCTTTGTTGATGTTCGGTGCCCTAAGCATACCAGTAAAGCCCAAACTAATAAAAATCTATCATATTAAGTTGTTGAAGACACTTTTTGTAGGTAGGGATGGGACCACTTTCATTTTAAGTTGATGAAGACACTTTTTGTAGGTAGGGATGGGACCACTTTCATTGTTGGGTGAATTTTGATTGGTTAAGCATAGCAATAAGGTGGTATACCCTGCTCACCGACTATCTTCTCCTCACAAAGGGCGTGATGGGACTTTGATTTGTAGTGATCCATCCCATTACTCTTGGATAATATATTATTCTCAAAACTAAGTAGCCTTATCGACAATTTTAATCGAGAAATAATTATTCTCAATCCTAATCGACAAATTTTGTAATTCAAAGACAATAAGGCCAAAATTTTGATTTTATCAAATGCATCAAAGGGATTTAAATTCCTAACTTACCATTGTTAGTTTGAATTTTCATGTCAGCGTTATAATCCATTTATGCCAACTAGACCTATTTTATATTCATTGTAACATGTCCAATGCTTTGGTAATTGCCTCCACTAAAATTTTTTTGCTAATTATAAAGTTGTCCCTACTAAAATTGACTTTAAGAAAAATTTTCAAAATTCAAAAAGGTCCATCATTTTTTAACCAACCCACTAAAATTGCCCCACAAAATTTCTAAAAATTAAAATTCAAAAAAGACCTCTCATTAATTTGCTATTTATTATTTTGGAAAACGTATATACCCTTTGACCAATCATCATAGTTGAGCTTAATATGGTTTGATGAAAGCTCCAGGAAACTATAATTAATGGTGCGGTTGGAAACTGCAAATAGCTGCTAGTTCTTTCCGGATGGGGCCTTGAAAACCTAGTACATATGGTTGAAATTGTTGAATTGACAAGTTTAAGTGATGAGTGGGAAATTTGATATTTCTAAAAGTCAAAATGAGACCAAATAACATATTCCACCATTTTCAAAGACTTCTCGCTGAGTCGAGCTCACTGAAATGATTTAAGGCAAGAAAATTACCCCGCTCCATCTCTTTGGTGTCAAAGGCTTCTTTAGTATTACGACTATTATTTTTGGTATGAGACCGAGAGCACAGGGTGTCAAGGACGCAAAATGAGACTTAAAAGGCGGCATGAATTCTCTCATTGGCAACTGAGATTAACATTCGGGATATCATCATCATTTTTGTCTTAAATTTAGAGAGTAATCGGTCACAATTGTATAAATAGCTCAATCCAAATAGAAGTCCTTTAATATTCGTGTTAAGAACTCTCAACATTTATTAAATGAGTTATACATGTAACGTAATCGGTTTAATGTCAACTATATTATTTAAATTATAATAATAATCAATCAATCAATAAATACTAAAAAAATATATGTTTGAATCAAACCAAATTACTAAATAATCTTAGCTTACAAAATAATAAATTATAAAATACAAGTTTAGATAATTATTTTAGAACTTAAACACAAATTTATTTATGATACATATAGTTAAAGAGATATAATCCTATTACAGTGGTGAACCACCTCAACCCAAACACAATACTATTAAATAAACGAATTAATCGTATCGATCCGTTTACAATTTAAATCCGTTTAAGGCCAATTCAAATCCGTTTAACACATGTCTTGTTCGAGTTATGTTGGTGGGCCGTCTCAAATTTTACCACCCCTACTTTATCCCGTAAGATGAGACTCGGCTGCATAAAATTTCTCTCTAAAATTTTCTATTACAGAGCCAATTCACCTGTTACATTTAACTTTATAAATTTATTTTTAATAATCTCCTCCATGTTATTTTTTACCTCTCTGTGTCTTGTATCTTCTGCTATAATTAGTATTTCCTGGTTTGATTAGCGTGTCTCTCTCCGTCTCCTATCTTCAATTATAATTAGTATTTTCTGGTCTGATCAATGTGTCTCTCCGTCTCCTATCTTCAATTATAATTAATATTTCCTGATTTGACTGTCATGTCACTAGGTTTTGGATGTATTATCAAGCTCAAATTATTATACTATTTTCTTTAATTAATAAAATTGATTATTTACATTTTTGTTCCTAAACTTTCGAACGCAACAAGATTTGTGGGTACAGTCCTGTTTCTTTTTTCATTCATTCAATAAAAATAAAAAATAGAAAAAAAAATAGAATAACGATTTTTTAAAAACCCTAAAGCCGCCAGGTACATTTTGAGAAGTGGGTGGGACACCTAATTGAGTGTATATTGGCGAGACTTGCACCTATTGCTCGTCAATAGTTCCATCAGATTACACACACAGATCACTACCATATATATACAAATTAGTTATAGAATTATATTTTCATTCTGGTTTCTTCACAACAAGAACCGAGCACGAGGCGTTATGAACACAAATAGTTGCTCACTCTCCCAAGAAGAGCCCTGCATCAGCAAATTTTGTTTCAGTGCCCAAATATATGCAATTGATATGTACATTAAATCACAACATATCGACTTTCTAAGATGCACATTAAGCATTTTAGTGAGCTCACCACAAGGAAATCTATTATTTTCAAGTGTGTGTTTACAAAGCAGTACTGTAGTTTTGTATATGATGTGCAGTTTACCTAAAGAATGCAACCGTTGTTTATTTTGCGAACTTAAACAAAAAACACAAAAAAACATATTAAACACACAACAAGAACACAAATTTTTATTTGGTTCACCAAAACTGTGTTTCACTATGATGATAAAAAAAACAACCTCACATACGGAGAGATCAGAATGAACAAATACCCTCGCATTAGAGCAACATAACAAGTGTAGAAATTACCAAAATGCCTCCCAAAATATTCGCCTCCACACTAACCATCAGTTTAATCAATAGCAAGTGTTTTATTTGGCATGTACATCTGCATAACAGATCAATAAATCACATCGAGTGAATTTTACGACATCTTTTGCTCAATGCAATCTAGAACACATGCACAGCTCAATTATCTTCCATTATTCCAGTCATGTTGATAAGCATATTGGTAAATCCGAGTTGAATACTAATTCAATCACCAGGACCTCGTGATATGATAAAAATATAGTTGAACTTAAGTTATAAGTTAGCTAGAGCGAGACATAAAACAATTCATCAAGCTGACCCCAAATAAATTAGAAAAGGCTCTATTGAGTTGAGTTTCCGCAGAAGCATACACACTTCTAAAAGGGACCCACGTCTCGTTTGTTAGTTCAATTTAACATGTTCAATTTGGACATTTTCTGTAAGAGCTTAGACTCGGTCCACGAACAAGAATGGAACATATTGTATGTGTTCATGGTGCTTTCGTTGTTCGACCATTTTCAATATATATCAGTCTTAATTTAATTATATTTTCATTGTGATTCAATGATCATAACCTAATGAAATATGTAGGGACATATTTATCTGTTAGAAATTCCAATTTCAGAAATCTAGGTTGAACAAGAAAAATGTTTTTCAAGCCAGAGTCGACATTCTCTTTCTTGATGCTCCGTGAGCCGAGCATACCACATCACTGGTAATACCCAACTAATGAAAATCTACCATAATAGGTTGTTGAAGACAGTTTCTGTAAGTAGGGATGGGACCACTTCTATTGTAGGGTGAATTTTCATTGGTTAAGCATAGCAATAATATGGTAAGCCTTGCTCACCAACTATCTTCTCCTCACAAAGCACGTGATGGGCCTTCGATTTGTAGTGATTGATCTCGTTACTCTTGAATAGTGATTCTCAAATCTAATAGTATTACCGACAATGCTAATCGAGAAATTTATGTTCCTCAAATACAAACGGGATAGTATGTGCCTGAGTGGATATATTTACTGCTGGGTTCATTCTTTGTTTTGTATGAATTTATTTTCATATCTGTTGGGCCACTTTGTGACTTCTCTTCTCTCTTTTCTAGCCCATCCTCAATGGGTCGGGGGCATACCCCTCATTGTTATCCCTATACTTATTTTCTTTTTTATGTAAATTTTTAATTATCAAAAAAATAAAAAATAAAAAAAATAAAATAAAATAAAATAAAATTTGACTTTTAAGAAAAACTTTCAAAATTCAAAAAGGCCAATCACTTTTTAACCCATCCACTAAAATTGCCTCACAAAATATTAAAAAATTAAAAGTCAAAAAAGACCCTTTGAATATGGTTAATGAAAGCTCCAGGAAACTACAATTAATGGTCCGGTCCGGTAACGGCAAATAGCTGCTAGTTCTTTCCGGATGGGGCCTTGAAAATCTAGTACATATGGTTGAAATTGTTTAATTGACAAGTTAACGTGATGAGAGAGAAATTTGATATTTCTAAAAGTCAAAATGAGACTAAATTACATATTCCCACCATTTTCAAAGACTTCTCGTTGAATCGAGCTCACCGCAATGATCAAGGCAAGAAAATTACTCCGCTCCATCTCTTTCGTGTCAAAGGCTTCTTTAGTATTATTATTTTCGGTATGAGACCTCAAAGAGAGCACAAGGTGTGAAGGACGCAAGACGAGACCTAAATGGCTGCATGCATTATCTGATTCTCTCATTGGCAACCAAGATTATCATCTGAACATCATCATTCTTATCTTAATTTTAGGGAGTGGTAGATCACAATCGTGTCACATCGACGTAAAAATATTCTACAAAATAACTCACCTGAACACGACTAGTTTAATATTTGTATCAATAACTCTCAACAATAACCGAACTAATTTATAAATGAATTATTGCCAAACAATAAATACTATTATTAAATTATTAATAATAGTCAATCAAACAATAAATATAAAATAAAAAAAAATTTAAAATAACCAAATCAATAAATACTCTCAGTTT